GCCGTCTCATTCCTCTGGTTTCGATAAAATGACAGGCACACTTTTTGTACTGGGTGCAATTTTGAACAACAGCCATATACAGTATTTCCAATCGGCATAATCATTTGTTCACTGCAGCTCAACAGTGGTAGTTCTGTTGAGAGGATGACCCCTGTAATGAGAATGTGCAATGTCCACTACTATTTCAGGACTGTCCACATGAAATGAGCACTGCCCCAGTGCTTATTTGAGCAATAAACCACTTTGACTTTCTTTTTTACCCCTGTACTTGCATTATTTTTTAATGTGAAGAAAATGTGTATATTGTGCATTAAGCACAGTGTGATTGATAATTTACTCATAGGATTCCTCCAGTATAAGTGCATATTCTGATTCTGATAATCATGAATTTAAGAGCTTATTTAAGGGTACTTTAGGCAGTGCACCACACTTGTATTTGAGCTGCAGGAATGAAGACAGCAGTTCCGTTGAAGGAGAAAATGTTTCGTAAGACATTTAAATTATGTTAGTGTTGCCACTCTTTAAAATTGTGTTCATCTCTCTGCCAGGGGTTTGACTCCTGTACCAAACTTTGTTATTATTCTTCTTCCTGGAATTTCCCCAGTCATTTGGGATCTGCCTTCCAGGTCCACTTTCTCCACTCAGTCCATTGTGCTTCATGTCAAGGCCCACCACTTTTAAACTATTTTGAACTCTTCACCGCCAAACTCTTTCACCGGTCGAGTAAAAGAGAAGCAAAGCAGTGACATGTGTGAGTTTGGCACCATGTACCTCAGCAGAAAGTTCCAATGGCAGAAGCAGGATGTTGGGTAAACCATAATCAGCAAGGGTGCAAAGTAGAAGAAGATAAGTCACTTTTTTATTGTTATGGATAAGTCACAAGATTTTGGTGCATTTGTAAGGGAGTTCACACAAGTCGTCCTGGTAAGGGAATTTTAATATTCCAAACATCACCAACATGAACATTTGCGGGGCATGGCCACACATCTTTACGGCAAGACTTCTTCTCCCAGAGCTGCTCTTTCTTTGTCTCCCCATCCCTTATATACCCTTTTCCCTTTCACACTTACTGGGGTTATCCCCTCAAATGTCCTATCTCGTTTTTCCTGTCTTCTTGCCAGCACCCTTCTTTAATTATTTTTTTATAGGCGTGGTCTCTTGTCTGCTATGTGACCCCCACATTCAACCCCAAACGTGCCCTCATGAACTCTACACATTCATGATCTGTGTCACTGACTCATGATTGACTAATCGAATAATTGTATTTACCCAACAGCAGATTATCTGAGACTGAGCTTTGTCATGCTGATCAGTCGGCAGAGTGTCATGGGTGGGGTTATTTAACTGTCAGGTTAACCTTCAGCCTGCAGTTAAAACTGGCTGTAAGTCAATAATATTCCTTTTTTTGCGGTTGCACAAGGCATTTTACACTTCCAGAGCCTCTTGTAAATTTACACAGATCCTAGAACAGGATTGATGGTTAAGAAGAGTTCAGAGACCTGAACAAAACCGTACATTTTTATGTCAGTGTTGGCGCCCACAAGGACTGTACTTATGCATCAACTTTAGCAATTATCCCTAGGCATGGAAACCTTATCTGCAGGGAGAGTTTGGAGACAGGTACTGAGCATCTGTCCCTGCCACCTATCTCTCCCTGAGGACCCTCCACACAGAATTCAATTATTTTCTCTCAGACTGGAGTGCCGACGGGCTCAGCCGCTTGGGTCTTTTTTAATTTTGAATAGATTTGACAAAGATTCTACTTCGTTTATTTTCTTGTTCCAGCTTCATTTAGAATATATGTATTTTCAATCTACATGTATTTTCATTGATTTAATGATTGCAAATTATGATGCATTAATTATTTTTTTTCATCTCGTGACACCCAGGGCTGTAACGCCTAGATCCCAGAATACTATGTATGATTAGGAAGCACGAGGCAGCCTAACCAAAACCATGGATCATTTCACGGTGTATAGTAAGTGTACTATTGACATGTATAAAAGAAACACACAATGTAAAAAAAACACAAAGGCCCAGCCAGTTGAAGATGTTCTACAAAACATTGCCAAGTTATGCACGTGTGACTTCTCTTCTAACACGATCGTTTTTGCTCAAATTTTCAATTTGTTGTTTTTTTTAATCGAATTTATATTTGCTTCATCGCGGTACTTTATATTTCATTAAATAACTTTTGTAATTTCGGTGACCCAGGTCGCTCTTACAAACAAAATTATCCTGGTCGCTTGAAGTCCGCACCTGGTTAGACAGCAACAAAACAACCGAAACCAAGTCAAGATGCCACAATTGAGGTGATGCTGTACATTCGGCGGCCGCCACCCAGCGAGCTCCAAGTGGTCTCTTGATAAACTCCATCCCGTTGTCAGTGCCTCAGAAATATGAAACATTTGACTGGTGTGGAGTCCTACCACTCCCTGTCGGAGGGAGCAGCGCCAAACGTGACAGCTGGCTGGTTTAGCCGGGAGACTGTTCTGGTCATCATGGCAGGCCATCTTGCTCACAGTACCAGGCAATGCCAAGCTGCTTCGCTTTGTGTCCCATTTCTGTCAGACCGGCGCGCTGTCCACAGATGGCCTGATATTTTAGCTGTTTTGTTGCGAGTTCGGTTCTGTCTTCCTCTATTCGCCATGATCTCGAAGGTTCCTTAGTAGGTGGCCAGACAAAAAATTGGTGTGTGTTAACCTGATTGCCTCAAACCGGGAAAGATGTCCTGGTTTTCCTATCTCCCGGCCTCATTGATGCCAACCCTCGGCCGGTGCCATTACAGCCTGACCTGTTGTGCCAGCAGGTATTTTTATGGAACACACCCTTGGATTGCTGTCATGGCAATTGAACGGCAGCAGTTCAGTCATTTAGGGCTTGATGTCGCAGTCCAACATCTTCTCTTAAAATGTCTCCGCCCTTCCATCTGGTGAGTTTACAACTCCCACTGGTGCCACTTCAACCGTTGGTGTGCTGGCCGCGGCTTGTACCGTGTGTCTTGCAGGTTGACCACCATCACTACATACCTGATGGAAAATGTTTTCATAAGGGGTGTTCCACAATGGCCCCGAACGTCGTAAGGTATTTGGCTATCTTGGCATTCCATTTAGTCCTTTGGGGCAAGTTACTGGGCTCTTCAAGTCTTTTTGGGAAGGCTGTTTTTGGCTTTCCAAGCAGGAAAAGGCTACTGTGCGATTCAGTTTGCCTCCCTGGAACTGCCATTTGTGACCCTCTGACCCAATAGCAGCCTGTGATGAGAGATTCTTGCCTCTAACGATGGAAATTTTGATTGCCCATCACCTTGGCCAGGCGAGTGCATGTATTACAGGTGCTTATGGCAGCACATCTGTTCCCTATACTATTTGTTTTTTTCGGTAAATAAATAATAAATCACGACGTTTCAACCGCAGCACAAGCAAGCGTCATCAGGTGGAAAGATACAGCAGTAGAACTGCTGAACACGTCGTGATTTATTATTAATTTTTCTACCTACGTGACTTTACCGAAAGAACCAAAGAGTATGGATTTCTGCAGTCATGAAAACTTCAAATCTGTTCACTAATTTATAACGAGTGGGAAGATTTGCTTACCTCTCCTCAGTTTGTACTGCAAGTCCTTGTCTGATTTTCATGTCAACCAGGATTTGCCTTCTCTTTTCACCAAGCCATTCCCACTTCCACGCACAATTGCATAGGCTTGACCTGGTTCGGGCGCTATCTCTTTAATTAAAGTGTCAGGTGGCTTTTACAAAAATCCGACTGGCTGTTCGTCTTTCATGCCAGGCAGCAGCGTGGCGAACTAGCACCCAAGCAGCTGGTCGCAGCTGGTCGCAGCTGGTCGCAGCCTGGGTGCGGGAGTGAATCCAGAAAGTCTATTTAACACGTAGGCTTTCGCGACCAATATTATTCATAATAAAGGTTTTTGGGTTAGATCGCGTACTTAAGGGATTTGGCCGGGTTGGCCACATGCACGCCCACCATTCCACTCGAATAATGGCAGTGTCTTGGGCTAGTAGGTCGGGGATACCATTGGCCGCAATTTGTCAGACAGCGGTCTTGAGTCCCCTTCCAAACCTGCACTCAATCTATTGTCTCAGGAGGGCCGTTTTGGCACGGCAGTGCTCTTTCCATTGTTTTCCTTTTTTGTGGGTTAATCAAGTAACCACAGGGCTTTCGTGCTCACATTAAGCCCAGTTGACAGAGGTAGCCACCACCCCACTCCATTCCCTCCCTCGTTTACCTCAATAAACACACTCCTGGGGTGTCGCATTGTCTCCTGTGGTAGGGGGTGGGACGTTGGGGGCTTTGATTGGTTTTGTATTGTTTGTGGCATAATATCCTAAGTGTGGGAGGCTGTGTGCGTGTCCCCGAATTGTTTTCTTTGACAAGGTAGCACTGAGTAACGGGGCCTGGGGACCTGTGAAATAGGGTTGGGGTTTGGTGCCTGCCTCTCTGAGGAGAGGGGGGTAGGGGGTAGGGCCCCCACTTGTCAAATGTTTGAGACTTTGAGACACTGGCACAGGATGTAGATCATTAAGTGACCTTGAAGTGTGGCGGTGGCCGCCTCTGAAAACGGGGCCTAACGTGACTTTTAACGTGAGTACCAAAGCCTTGTCTACACTTGGCACTCTAAATTAAATAATTTCAAGACTATTAATGATTCAATAAAAAATACGCTTTTTTCTTACCATTAATTAATCGAATCAAGAGCTCCCATCCTTCAAATTATCATCAGTGGCCTTGAACAGCCATGTGGAAGGTACAGGAAGTATTTAGCCGTCTGCAAGAGATAGCAAGAGGTGGTTTCCTGGCATCAAAGATGAGCTCTTAAAAGAGATAAATGTAGGCCTACAGGAGAGGAAGATGTTCGTCCAGTCTCACCATCAGCCGCTGCATGACTGATGGAGATGAGAGCAGCTTCAATAATAATTCACATGGCAGTGCATTGTGCTGACCTCTGTGTGAGTATGACGCCCAGCTGTATTTTATGCCACACAGGTGAAGGCAGCCGTGGCGTCGGCGCTGAACTCGGGATACCGGCACATCGACTGCGCCGCCGTCTATGGGAACGAGGCGGAGGTTGGAGAGGCCCTGATGGAGTGTTTCGGTGCTGGGAAGGTGCGCCACACGAGCCAGGCGTGGTCGACACCAGTGGGCAGAATGGTTCATTGGAGATCAATAGCTGAAGATGTTACTGTGTGTGTATATATGTGTTACCAGGTAATTCCCATTGAGCTTTTATCTCATTGTCAGAATCGATCTGGCCAAAAATGATAGCTCAACGAAGTGGTTTATCACGTGGAAATATATATTGCAGAAAAATACTCTTCGCGCATGTTTCTAAATGTGGAGGGAAAAACCGGAGGACCCGGAGAAAAATCCACATGATCATGGGGAGAGAGACACGCAAACTCCAAATATACAGCAGGCGTCAGGGTCGGGATAGAACCCACGGCCTACTGTATACCAGAAAAGGTAGTTAACATCTTTCCACCGTGGCGCCCCATTGTCATCGTCAAAGCTGTCGAGCTCCCCACACCTCGCCAAGACTTTCCACAATCTGCCTTATCTCACAGTTGCTGCAGAGTAGATATGTGCCCTCCAAGATTACAAACTTGCACGTGTATATGCATGAGCCCGTCCTCTTATCAGATGGTATTTCCCAGGATTACCCCAGAATTGGTAGGGTCTGAGTCCTGCAATTGCATAACCGGAACTAATAAATAATCCCTCCTCTTACAATTATCTTGATGTACATGTCGCACTATTTGCACAGCATCTTGAGGTGCTGTTTCATTTCGATAGTTTATCAATCCAAATTGTACTGTACCGAGATATGTTTTGCCGCAAGATCTGTTCACGTGAGACAAGATTAGCAGTCACTTTATTCTCAGTAAAAAAGACAACGGGTTATTAGTTTAGACACAATACAAGAGGGTGCAATAGTCCTGAAGACCTTGATAGGGTCGTCTAATCCCACGTGCTACAGCACCACTGATGGTGATCGTTTTTATCATATGTACAGCAACATGTACAGCTCTTTTGTCAGTCCACTGCTGAATGAGAACCCGTCGACACCGTGTGGGTCGTCAGGCTTATTTAACCAAACTTAACCACACTAGTCAGCGTGGTTTGGTGAAAGTGGGAAGCATAGACCTCCGATTAGCACAGTTGTCTACATCCAGTGTGAAAGAAGTTCAACATAGATAGACATCGGGGTAGAGTTTAGTACTTTCACTGGACATCTGTGAAAAAGATCTTCATCGCTCATCAGAATCAGCAATGGATTTGTCTGCACTGCCATCTGCTGACAGCATAGCTCAGCAGCAGGCCACAGTGGTTAAAGCCGGTTCTCCAGTGAGGGGATAGTCCCAGGCTGGTCACCAATAACTCTACACAACAAAACCATCGTGTTAAATTTGGTTGTGCGCTTCATTTGGATAAATTCCAGCTCTGAGAATTAAAAATACCAGTTTGAATTTGTTTTTGACGAACATTTCTCTCAGTGGCAGAGAGGGTGGCAATGTGATTCCCCCTCCTGTGTAGACCAGAGGTCACTTGAAAGGGATCTCAGAGGTAGCTCTGTGGCATCCAATTCTGTGGTTCGTTAAGTAACATGAAGGGTTGTACAGCTTTCCTTCGCTTTATGCGGGTCCGGTGTGTGCGATTTCGCGCTGTATATGACAAAAATTTGCTCGATGTGGTTTGAATTCACTCATGTACAGCTATGCGGTTCGACGTGGAACAACATTGTGTGTACTCTGTGTACAACTTCACAGGCAGGTATCTGGATTTGTTGCAACCTTTGTTTGGAATGCATCTACTCCAGCATAATGTGTGGGAAACCTGTATTGTTCTGGAATAGCTTCCGATGGTACCAATGGCACAATCGGGATAAAAATGTGGAAAAAGACACGTAAATGCTGCTTGTTTGTCAGCACAGTTTCATTTTACCTTCATATTTTTGTTTCCCTAACGATCAAGGCAATCGCCCGGGAGGATGTGTTTGTGACGTCAAAACTTTGGAACACCAAGCACCACCCGGAGGATGTGGAGCCGTCGTGCCGGAAGAGTCTGCAGGACCTCAAGCTCGACTTTCTTGACCTCTACCTCATTCACTGGCCCCACGGATTCGAGTAAGAACCTGCCAGTCCCTGCTTCCATGAGCGCAACCCCTGGGTTTGTAACGTTGAATGAAAAAAACCCTTTTATTTATCAGGTAAAGCACACTATACTTTGTTTCTTTCGGTAAAGTTGTTAAGGCAGCACGATGTCTGCTGCCTTGTTAAGACAGCAGACATCGCGGCTATCGCGATTTTCACCTGAAGACGATGGCTTGTGTTGCTATAGAAACGTCGTGATTTATTTTGTTTTATTTCTACCGACGTGACTTTACCGAAAAGAACCAAAGAGTATGGATTCCTGCAGTCACGAAAGCTTCAAATCAAGATTAAAGCACACTATTAGCTATTTTTCAGAAGCGACCTGGCCATAAATGATAGCTCAACGAAGTGCCTTATAGTGTGGACATTTATAGCAGCCAATTACTCTAAACACGTGTTTCTACATGTGGACGGAAAAACCGGAGGACCCAGAGAAAAACCCATGTGACCATGAAAAGAACATGCAAACTAAAAATATACAGGCGTCAGGGTCAGGATCGAAACCACGACCTCCTGCATACCAGGAGAGGGAGATAACATCTCACCACAGCGAGCACCCTATCTTTCAACCGACATCTGGGCGATTTCTGTCTAGGAGTAGTTTCAGAGTGATATGTGTCCGAGTTTCTTATAGCACCATGTAAACGGCGATTCTGCTTAGACGCGGCGACATCGCCTTCCCCAAAAACGAGGACGGCACGGTGCGCTATGACTACACGGACTACCGCGAGACGTGGCGCGCCATGGAGCGCCTGGTGGAAGGCGGCCTCGTCCGCGCCATTGGCCTCTCCAACTTCAACAGCCGGCAGATCGACGAGATCATCGCCATCGCTACCGTCAAACCCGCCATCTTGCAGGTAGCTAGAACGAAAATGTGCACATAGCGTGTTTGTGTGTGATGTGAAAATAATTAGCAGTGGCAGGAATCGAGCATTTAATCCTGTCTAAACTGGCATGCAAACTTCGCATGCACTCGGATATTAGATTGGCAACAAGTTGGCATGTTTACACCCAAGTTGGAGTTGTGTAGGGGTTTAACGCTGTAACATAGTGCATTTAAAGGCAAGCATTGTGACATCATGTAAGTTTGCAGCTCTAAAATTTGCTCGGCCACAAGGTGGCCAGGACATAGCAGTATAGCAATTTGGTTCATAAACCCGTCTTTGTAGACCTGGTATGTGCACGTTTTGTTCACTTACTACGGTATAATCTCACCTGCAAAAACTCATTTAAAAAGAAATGGCTAAACATCCCAATTCAGAGTCCTACTGAAAATGTCTTGAAACTCATTCTTCGATAATATTTTTGCTTGAGGGAATTATGGTCGGTGGTCAAATATAACAACAGTGGCAGCCAAGATGACGTATACCGAGGAGATGGAGCTATGAAATCAGCTCACGTGCAAGTGCTAGGTGGATTTCTGCATCTCGTTGATAGAGGGCAGCAGCTTGGGGAAATCCCTCATCCAGCAATGGATTTTGCTGTCATTGTTTGAACATGACTTTGTTTCCGATTGGCAGGTGGAAAGCCACCCTTACCTATCTCAGAAGGCTCTGCTGACTCACTGCACGGCACGAGGGGTGGCCCTCACGGCCTACAGCCCACTCGGCTCGCCCGACCGCGCGTGGCGCCAGTCTCACGAGCCCGTCGTGTTGGAGGAGCCCGCTATTCGCTCGCTTGCCGACAAGTACGGCAAGTCCCCCGCCCAGGTCATCATTAGGTGGGTGGGTGTGTGTGTGTGTGCACGTCTGAGCGATCGCGCAGCACTCCAAACCCAGTGACCCGAGTTTGATTCCCACTCATGGCCAACACTACTCCTGGGCCTCCCCTGGGTCAACTTGGCCTTAAATGAGTGCCTGGTGCAGTGTGTAAACATGAGCATTGGGGAGACAAAGGCAACCAGGCATGGTGCATGCCACCCACTCATGTGCCATGCCGGCCTTCATAGGTGCTCGCTAACAGCACTTAAACTAAAAACTAAACTATTTTTATTTTACCAGGTAAGGCCCACTGAGCTATTAGCTCTTTTTTAAAGCAACCTGGCCATCAATGATAGCTCAACGAAGTGGCTTATCATGTGGACATTTATAGCAGCCAATTATTTTGAACGCATGTTTCTACATGTGAAGGGAAAAACTGGAGGACCCAGATAAAAACCCATGTGCCCATGGGGAGAGAAACACACAAGCTCCAAATATACAGCAGGCATCAGGGTCAGGATCGGACCCACGACTTCCTGCATACCAGGCGAGGGAGATAACATCTCGCAACCACGGCACCCCCAACAGTCTGTCAAGGCTATGCGGTGGACCTTGGCCTTTGTGTGTGCATGTGTGCGCGCTTGGGTAGTGCCATTCCACTCACCATTGTGGTGTCCGTTAACTGCAAGTCTGTTTTCAATATTGGGTGGATTAGCGATAGGGTATAACCCAATCACTCCTGGCTGGCCTGCAGTGAATCACTGCCGTTCGGTATGTGTGTGTTTACATTTGTTTGTTTGCCTGAGTTTGTGTGTGCATTTGTTTATTTGTATATTGGTCCTGTTTGGTTTGATGAATTTGTTCAATTTGGTCAGAGCATAAAAAATATACTGATGTAACACTAAATAAAAGTAAGTGTAATAATATCCTGTTTCCTTATTGTGGGTGAAGTTAATTGGCGGAAAATTGTGTTTTAATGAATCAAGACCAGAGCTGCCAAAATGATTTATTGAATCTGCTTTTCAATGATGGTCTTGGAGGTAATGCATGCCACAGAAGACCGTTAGTGAATTACAAGCTGCTTGACCAAATCATTGTTTCCATTTGATTGGTAGGTGGCAGGTACAACGAGGTGTCTTGGTCATCCCGAAGAGTGTAACTCCATCCCGAATCGTGGAGAACATTCAGGTTTGTTACGGACACTTATATTGCACTGAGATTTGTACATTTTTTTACTTCTCACCTGCTGCTGTTAATCACCGTGGTTCTGTTACTATCAAGGGACAGAGCACAGTAGTCATTTATCGCGGAACTTCCTACATTTAGCAGCGCCTAGGGGCACATCAGCCACTGTGGGTGTCATGGGTGCCCATGACCTGCGGTGGTGCACCCATTCATACTGCTGGGTGGATAGATTCGGGAAGGGATTTAAAACACGTGCCCATTGAGCATACTAACAAATGTACTCCGTATTTTGTAGTTGTGCCTGAGCACCACTGCCAATGTACTCGCTCAGTTTTTCTGCCTGATCTTGATGTTCAAGGCTTGGTTCGTGAAGCATGCAGTGGTGAATTTGGATGTTGATGGCTGTGAGCAGGGTTATTCACCATGTGTGTTATGCGAGCAGGTTTTTGACTTCGCTTTGACGGAGGAGGAAATGGATCAGATAGGTTCCCTCGACAAGAACTGGCGCTACATCGTGCCCATGATTGAGGTATTGCGATTTTTGCTGATGCAAAGGAAAGCTGAAATGTTAACATTTAAAATATTTTTTTTAGTCGGTTAACTTCATCCAGTTATAGTTTTGTTTTTCTATTCTTTGGGTCTTTTGGTAAAGTCACGTAGATAGGTTCAAATAAAATAACAACTACGACGTTTCGATTGCAACACAAGCGGTCGTCAGAAGTGCTTGTGTTGCGATCGAAACGTTGTAGTTTTTTGTAATTTTCTTTCAACCTATCTACGTGACTTTACCGAAAGACCCAAAGAATATGAATTCCTACAGTCACGAAAGCTTGAAGTCAAGATTTAAAGTTTAGTTTGTTGTCCTTCCCCTGCACGTTTAGCACGTATGGTTACGTATGGTGCGAAAGAAGTTCAACACACATACAAATTAATAAATATGTTTTGGTGGCCAGTTAACCTTTCTGCTATTGTACTTAATTGGTAAAAACCGCAGAGCATATCTCTCTCCTGCCAGGCTCGCACCCATTTGCAGGCCAGTGCTGCATACACCATGTGCTGCATGAGGGCAGCCGCCACCGGGTGTCCACTTCGCTTGCAGACAATTGGATTGGTTGAGATTACACGTGATGCAAGGCACTCGTGAATTACTAAGGCCTTTTTCAGTGCCCTATAAATACAAATAAAAATTCATTTGGCATGCTTGCTCCCATTCTTACCCATCAAAATGTATGTAGACGCATTCTGGCCAGGTGGCCCGGCGAAAGGGTGAGCAGGTTGCAGTTGGGAGGTCCCGAGTTCAAATCCTGGCTGATGTTTGACTCGGGCGTTGATAAAATTGGGACAACTTTGTCGGGAAACAACAGTTGATGTCCAATGGAGAGACTCGCCCTTGCCGTAGGAATCTGAAACTTCTACCACTGGCTTAGGGCTGCAAAGAGGAGGAGAGCATTGCCTCGATGCTCATTTTGAGCAGAAAATCACTTGGAATTTTGACACGTGCATTCATGCGTTGCAGCCAGTATTAAACATGATTTACATCTCTCGTCATTTGTTGCAGGCTGATGGCAAGATGATTCCCAGGGACGCTGGGCATCCACACTACCCCTTCAACGACCCCTACTGAGCTGGGATTTTCTTGCCTCTGTCGTCCCTGGCAACCCCCCCCCCCCCCCCGCAAAAGCACAATGGAGAGAAATTATTAGATATCTCCGTCCCCACTGCCATCCCCTGCAAATGAAATTTGTGACAATTGTAGGAGACGAATGCAGGCACTGTTGTATGTCCTTTCAAGTTGCTTGACTAATTAACTAAGCAAGTAATGTCACCATGGTGTGTTTTGCATGATTGGCTATTCCGTCAACTTAAGTTTGGCTACATTGGGTTATATTCCAGGGGCATGTTGCACAAAACACCTGAGCTGGACGTTTCCTTTCATTTGTTTGTTTTTGTAGTGGTATGTTGTTACTGCCACGTATTGTTGCCCCTGATGTCTCAAATATTGGCTTCAAGCATACCACTGATTTTTTTTAAAATCCATACCTGATTTAACAATGTTTGCCAATGCATTGTTTGAATGATCATCTCAAGCTTCGATTATAAATGGTATTCACGTCAACATAAAAGTACTTTTCTGAAATATAAATGTTCAACTATTTGATTTACTACGATTTTCTGGAATCATACTGTACACATAAAAAAAAAAGTATTTGTTACTAATTGCCAAATGTCTTGTGAACTGTTGATAGTGATTGTGACAGTTTTTGCTCGGTAGACATGGGGGCTTTTCGAATGTGCAAGAGTGATGTTCATTGATAATGTGACCACACATTTTGAGCCCACAGAGCCTCTGTCAGTTTGTGTTGCTGGCTTGAATTAATCATAACATAGCTGTGCCTTAATCCCACATACAAAGCAGTGTCCTGCATTAGCAAATAATTCCTTTTTGAGAGTTTACATCGTAGGTGCCTGCAATGCAGGCACGTCCCAGAATTTATTCTTGTAGGCGTATTCAAACCTCGACCTTACAGGGTAACAAACATCCACTAAACTCGCCTTCTATTCGTGTAGTCCATGGTAGAGAAACCTTTCCTAAAACCTGTCTGCTCACGTGGTTGGTAGAAAGGTAGTTCAACAGATCAAACGTTTGTGAGGCTTTCATCTAGCAGTGGATTGATCATGACTGACGTATGTGTACATAATTTCAGAATATTGATTCTAGTTAAAGTTTGGTCTTCTTGGTTAGCCAGCATGTGGGGAATTTCTGCCACCCAACTTTCTTGTGCAACTGCAGAAATAATTTAGCGCATGGGTTTTTTTTCACTTTAGATACCAAATTGTTTCCAGTTCTTAACAGCTCACAGTAAAACTGGGCAGCCACAATAATATCCTGCAAAATGAGCTGTTCACAATTTAACTTGCAAGCAGAATACTTCATAAACCCATATTCCATCAGTGTATAGCTGCAGAGCTGTGATGGAAAAAACTGGTAAATTAATAAGGTTCCACGCAGCCAGTTGAGTTATGTTTGTCCCTTGAGCAAATTCTACCGCATACTGGGAGCTACAATCCTCTAGCCAAGAGCCATATTCAGGTTTCGTGTTGTACCATGATGTGGCCACTTGGCCGTATACTATGGGACGATATGTCTGTTTTTCCGGAATGGAGAAGTTGATAGGATGTTAAAATGTTAGCCAGTTGTAGTGGAGTTGGACTGCAATCTTTACTGGAAGTTTGAAAATAACTGCACTGAATTACACTGCCATCTCGGTGGTGATTTGCACAAAACGCTTAATGACATTTTTCTCTTGGCAACATACAGAGGTCAAAAGAAATAGTACAACATAGCAAGGTGTGTTTATTTTGCAACAGGTTGTGCACCTGTTATTGTCAAAGCACGGTGAGGTTTTATTCACAGTCATTTTCTGGAGTAAATTAAAATCCGATTTGTTCAGTGTATAAAATTATAAATGCATTCATAGTTTTGACCATGTTTGCCCACATAAATATTTACTCCAATGTAAAAAACAACAACCTGTGTTTAAACTGTTCCTCTCATAGTCAAATACTTTAGTTCATACACCTGCGCCTGGGCTGCATTATCTGTTCTGTGTTTTTTTTCCTGACATCAAACACGTGCTGAAGATGGACGTATTATGGCCGTGCTGCCATCCTGCTGGAGAGACGTCAGTCTCATGTCATGTAACGCTCCAGTTCTGTACGGTATTTGAATCCAATTGAAATTAAATATTTCCTTCAAAAGGTTTTTGCAGTTGTGTGTTTTTTTAAATCAACATTTTAACACATCGGACACATTTTGAGCTTTTTTTACTTCTAAACTTCCAATAAAGCACATTTGAGGATCTATATACATGTACGTTCATCGTTACTTGAAACATGTTTTGCATTGCCCAGGTGTTACTCTGCACTGGCATCGTGGTCAATTGCACAATAATAACTAACATCCACTCCATCGACAAACAGGAGAACCCGGCGACCCAAGTTCGATTCCCTCTCACGGCCAACATCAGTGGCGAAAATCTGAATCGGTCCTGGGCCTCCCCTAGGTAGACTCAGCCTCAAATGAGTACTTGGTGCAATGTGTAAACATTGCTACTGGGTGTGGTGCTGACCACCCACCTCGTGTGGTGTCCCAGCCTTCATAGGTGCTCGCTAACAGTACTTTCCCCAAAAGTCTGTTAAGGCTATACGCGGGATATTTGTCCATGTTAGAGTTGGGATATTGGGCAAGGGAGGCCTCGGAGCGTGTGGCATTTTGTCCTGAGCCTCCAAAAACCTTTTGGTGTCCCTGTGAATAGCTGACAAACACCCACTACGTGGAGGATGCCTTGGCATGGGGCTCCAATTGCCAAAGTTCTCATGCTGGACAGTGCCACAGAGACTTAAAGCCAAGTCCAGTATAACGATCCAGGATTCAAGCATCCGTACTATTCAGGAGTAGCTTTTGACCCTAAAATGAGATTCGTCACTGGTAGCATTAGATCATCCAAGTTGCTTTCATTAAAGGTAGGAAATAACGGTTCATGTGCTGGAAATCCATTTTAGAAGGCCACTGATGAATACAAATATTGGTGAGATTCAGAAAGTCAAAAGTGGGACAGAGTTTTCATAAGCAAGCAATTGTTTCAAAATGTTGGTCTGGAAGAGTTATAGCTATAGAAGATATTACTTAAATGTACTTTCGTCTGTTTATTGCTTATTTGTTTCCCATAATGCTCCACACAATGGTACGTGAGTTTTGTACAGCCCGGACCACAGATTGCTGATCACCCAACTCACCAGACAGATACGTTTTTTTGTTAGGGGCCACTGAGTGGATACATTTTATACTAGGGAAAGGGAAAGCTGTTGAAGAAGTTGAGTGAGAGTTTCACAATTCTCAAAGATGTGTTGTAAGAACTGTCAGCAATTTTAAACCTTTATGAATTGCTTTTTTTTCGATGCACGATCAGATGAAGTGTGTTTTGTGGTGATGGGCATAGCCTCTAGATTTATGGCATGCTGATCCTTTGACTGGTGGCAAATGGTTCTGACCGAACTCCGAGTGAATGAATGTGGTGGAAGGTTTATCACTTGCTAAATCACTTGATGACCTGGAGCAAAGGAAGGCACACAAGCAGCGCCATCAAAATGACAATTCAGTCTCTCGAAGTCTAAACATTTGCAACGTATTGTTGATATAAATAAATCGATAGAGATTTTATGCTAAATTGACTCAATTGTGCAGACTACTAACAACAGCTAAGCTGACCAGTAAATCACCATCGCACAGTTGCTGAATGTTCGCCATGCCAGGAAACAACTGGCAAAAGGAAGGCACATTGGAGATGTTTGATCACTATGAAGAATGTCGCTCTTTGATTGCCCTCTATTGGTATGTTGTGAGTGTGTGGAGCTTTTACCCCCCGTTTAATCGTGAATTAGGAGCAATGATGATGACAGTGATAGAGAACGATGATTATGTTGATGATTGTGTGTTTGTCCTCTTTAGAAGGTGTTTGCTTCGTATCGTCATGGACCACTGTTGGGTCGTGGTTTCAGAGGGCCGAAATGTTAGTTTGGACATCTCTCCCATAAGTGCTGTGCTCTTGAACCTGAAAACTCCACGTTTGATTCCTGGAGAGACTCATAATCCCATGACTCATTAATATCATGGTTTAGACTTGTTTTAACATGTCAGGAAAATAAAAGTAATTCGTGCATGCGAATTTCATGAACATTAATACATATTGATGAAACATTTTTTGCTCATGAAAAATCCCTTTAAGCAAAAATGTTAACTCAAAGCCTTTGGCATTAAATGCAAGATCTCGTATTTATTGTCCTATAGGAAAGAAGGCACCAAATAATACTCTTTTACAGGAACACATCTAAGGAATCCCGAGTACAATGTATTTAGAACTCAGGATTTCAAAGAATGAAGCTTAAAATGAATTTAATGCAGCTGTTTGGATGAAGAACCATGGTATATGATCAAGTATGCTGGATATGACGATCCTTATTGGTCATGAATAATTTTCGTCTTTAAATGAAAAGCAAATTGAATCGGACTCAATGAACACACCTCATTTTAACATTAATTTAGTGGTAACATAAAATTTGCGACGGCCGGGAATCGAACCCGGATCAACTGCTTGGAAGGCAGCTATGCTGACCATTATACCACCATCGCGCTTGCAGACACATGGCGCAAATAGATAGTCTTGAATTGTATCCATGCCACGACATTCCACAGATGGCAAAATGAAGGCACATTGGGTTGGTGCAATCGCATTGAAGGTTGCAGATTTTCACTGCCCTCTCCTGTTAAAGTTATGAAACATACTGGAAGGGTTGAGAGGTTTTATATTTTTGTTTAATGATAATATTAATAAGATTGGGCTCAAGTTGATACGTAATTACACTAAAAGATGTTGGTTCATGCGGTGTGGAGTGGTGAATTTGGATGTGTTGAGGAAACTCAGTGACCGTTTCACATTTCTCATAGATGTGTTGGAAGAACTGTCAACAATTATAAACTTTTCTTAAATTGCTTTGGCAATAGTTGCACGATCACATGGGGTGTGCTTGATGGTTATGGCATAGCCTCCAGGTTGATGGCATGCTGATCCTTTGAATGGTGGCAAATGGTGCTAATCTCAACTCTCGTCAATGCAAAAGTACTGTATGTACTGGAATGTTTATTACTTACAAAGTAACTTGATGATATGGTGCAATGGAACGTGCAAACATAATCCAGTCTCTCGAAATCTTAGCCAAACAGATATGATTCTATATTCATTCAATTAACGGTAACATTAACAACTCAGCCATAACAAATAAAAGCCTAAAATGGCTGGTCACCAAACCCAGATCAACTGCTTAGGAGGTAGCTAAGCTGACCAGTTTGCCACCAACACAGAGTGCTGTCATGTCAGCCATGTCACGACACAACTATCAATAGGAAGGCACATTGAAGATTTCAGATTGTTATGAAGCATGTCTCTCTTTGAATGCCCTTTACTGGTACATGTTAGCGGTATGTTGAAAGTGTGCAGAGCTTATCATCAAATTTAAGTGCGAATTAAGAGCAATAATGACAGTGATGATGATTGAAAACAATGGTGATGGCAGTGAGAACGGTGATCATGTTGATGATTGTGTTTGTCCTCTTTAGAATGTGTTTGCATCGTATCGTCATGGACCATTGTTGGGTCGTGGTTTCAGAGGGCCTCAATGTTAGCTTGGACATCTCTCCCATAAGTGCTGTAGTCTTGAACCTGAAAACTCCACGTTTGATTCCTGGAGAGACTAATAATCCCATGACTCATTATTATCATGGTTTAGACTTGTTTTAACATGTCAGGAAAATAAAAGTAATTCGTGCATGCGAATTTCATGAACATTAATACATATTGATGAAACATTTTTTGCTCATGAAAAATCCCTTTAAGCAAAAATGTTAACTCAAAGCCTTTGGCATTAAATGCAAGATCTCGTATTTATTGTCCTATAGGAAAGAAGGCACCAAATAATACTCTTTTACAGGAACACATCTAAGGAATCCCGAGTACAATATATTTAGAACTCAGGATTTCAAAGAATGAAGCTTAAAATGAATTTGATGCAGCTGTTTCGATGATGAAACATGGTGTGATCAAGTATGCTGGATGTGACGATCCTTATTGGTCATGAATGTTTTTCATCTTCAAATGAATAGCAAATTGAATCCGACTCTAAACTGACTCCATGATACACACCTCATTTTGCCATTAATTCAGTGGCAACATAAAATTTGCGACGGCCGGGAATCGAACCCGGATCAACTGCTTGGAAGGCAGCTATGCTGACCATTATACCACCATCGCGCTTGCAGACACATGGCGCAAATAGATAGTCTTGAATTGTATCCATGCCACGACATTCCACAGATGGCAAAATGAAGGCACATTGGATTGGTGCAATCGCATTGAAGGTTGCAGATTTTCACTGCCCTCTATTGTTAAAGTTTTGCAACATACTGGAAGGGTTGAGAGGTTAAATGTTTTTGTTATAATGATAATATTAATAAGATTGGGCTCCAGTTCATACGTATTTACACTTAAAGACGTTGGTTCATGCGGTGTGGAGTGGTGAATTTGGATGTGTTGAGGAAGCTCAGTGACCGTTTCACATTTCTCACAAATATGTTGGAAGAACTGTCAACAATTCTAAACTTTTCTAAAATTGCTTTGCAATAGATGCACGATCACATGAGGTGTGCTTGGTGGTTATGGCACAGCCTCCTGGTTGATGGCATGCTGATCCGTTGAATGGTGGCAAATGGTGCTAATCTCAACTCTCGTCAATGCAAAAGTACTGTATGTACTGGAATGTTTATTACTTACTAAGTAACTTGATGATATGGTGCAATGGAACGTGCAAACATAATCCAGTCTCTCGAAATCTTAGCCAAACAGATATGATTCTATATTCATTCAATTAACGGTAACATTAACAACTCAGCCATAACAAATAAAAGCCTAAAATGGCTGGTCACCAAACCCAGATCAACTGCTTAGGAGGTAGCTAAGCTGAACAGTTTGCCACCAACACAGAGTGCTGTCATGTCAGCCATGTCACGAGCAAACTATCAAAAGGAAGGCACATCGGAGAGTTCAGATTGTTATGAAGCATGTCTCTCCTTGAGTGTCCTTGACTGGTACATGTTAGCGGTATGTTGAAAGTGTGTAGAGCTTTTAGCTACATTTAAGTGCGAATTAAGA